AGGTCAGGGAAAGATCACAAACCTTACAAAAAAGTCAACAAATGTTTGTTTAACTAAAATCCTGATGGTCCACACCACAAGCAGCAGCCTGGATGCAGATCTTCCCTCTAAACACCATCAGACCGAGGTGGAGAGGTCAGAATCAGCCATCTCACAAGTTGTAGAAATAACACTAAACTCACTGAGCAAACATCCTCATCTCTCCTCTTTCCATCTGTTTTTATTTTTAGCCCTTCATATTTCTATATTTCTCTTGAAGGGCAAACATTTCCTTCTCTGTGGATCTGAGCGGCGACGTGTGAAACCAGAGACCAGAAAACAGCAGGAAGGAAACTCAAAATGTTGGCACTTTCTCCAACACGATATTTTCACAGCAGAAAAAGAAAAGACCTTTACCCTCTGCCAAATGCTTTGCATTCACTGATAGAAAAAAAAAGAATCCTTTATCAAGGTTTAACCCAGAGCAGGCATCAAAGATCTCATTGAAATCCATGAGTCACAATCCTGCTGCATCTTCAGCATCCCAGTTGTACATTTTGACTCCATTGTTTGTCTTTAATGTGATTTTTTGCCTTTGGAGATTGCATAATGCATCTGTTTGTACGATGCTGACTGTTTTTTACTGCCACACAGGACGAGCACGACAGGGGAGGGTTTGTCATTTACAGCTGGGCTGAACAAATTAATAATTGTGATTTGAAACAATGCAATTAGCAAATCACAAAGGAAGCAATTTATAGTGTACATGATGCAGCCTGTCTGACCCTGACTTTAGTTTTATTATGGCTTTATTTAATTGGATCGCAGAATGTGTAAAACCTAAATGCTGTTCTGAGCCAGGAGTGCATTGCCTTCCAATTTAAATGTCAGTGATTGTTTATAGATTTTTTATTTTTATTTTTATATGATTACAATATTACTTTAAGCCACAGCTTGTGTGATGATTGATTTAATAATTCCAATAAATACATGTATGCAGCAATTCACATCTTTTAAATCTATTACACAGAAAATATTAACACAAACCTAAACTTTAAAAAACAATCTTTTACAAATCTAATTGAATTTGACAGCATCTGTCAGAAAAATTGCAATTAAATAATTTCCCCAAATCACAGCTCAAATTTAGTTTTTTTTCTCAACAGTGTTCAATCACAGATCAGCACTTTGTTTAATCACAAGGTGCATTTCTTTTGTGATTGATGTCTAGGAATATAATCGTCTTACATGCCTTCCCTCATCTATTTGTTATTTTTAGACTTTTTTAAATGTCTGCCTTGTTTTAATTTTTGTGGCATCAAAGTGTTTTTGTTTTTTTAAATCTTTTTTCCACTTCGACTACATTCATAGACTGAGCTGCACATTAATTATAAACTCTATTCCACTGAGCCTCTGACACAGTAAAACATCCTCCAACATGCACGACGATGAGCTGAAAATGCTGCAGGTTAGAAATGTGAAAACAGCAACAAGAACACGTCCAAATATTAAACAACCTTAAATCTGAGGGTTTTTAGTTTACCTCTGTGTCTGAGATGAGAAAGTGATTTCTAACATCAAACATGTCCCTGTCACCGTTATTAGAGTGTTTGTCCTCGTCGGCTGCACGTCACCGCCTTTCTGTTTGACATTTCAATTAGACGCTGCCATGCAGGTTGACCAGCGTCTCCACAGCACAGTGAACTCAAGATCCACTGAATCCTTAAAAACAGTCACAACAGGCCCGACTTAAACATGTGATGGTGGGTTTCTACAAGTAAAGTAGCTTTACAAATATGTATACTATCAATAAGACACTTACTGCTGGTTTCATTTTGCTTTTAGAACAAGTTTAGGCAGGAAAACAGAACCAAGGCCCAATGCATCCATCTTATCATCCTGACCTGTGTGAACATTTGTTTTTTGTGTTAACCCAGGGTGGATGGAGGACAGGTGAATAGGAGCAAGCAGTTGATAAATGTTATAATTAACAGCATGCAGTGGTGAATGATCTACTTTAACTTTACCATAAAAAGCAACATATTTACCTCCAGAGGACTCGATGTTCTGACTCAAAACACTGAGACAGAGTCAAACACAGTGAAGTTCAACAGCACCACAAACCACAGCCTCTACATGACCCCGAAAGCAGAAGAGAAAAAACATTTTCACCAATAAATGATGTCGGCAGGGCTGCTGCTTTAAATTGTATTTAGGTGGTTTGATGTAACTCAGCAATTAGCAAATTGACTGACATTAGCTCTGAGACAGGTTACAAGTTGGTAGCACTGTTACCTCACAGCAAGAAGGTCGACGGTTCGCGTCCCGGTGAGGGCACCTGGGTGGAGTCTCCATGTTCTCCCCGTGCAGCGTGGGTTCTCTCCGGGTTCTCCGGCTTCCTCCCACACAGTCCAGAAACATGTTGAGGTTAATTGTTGATTCTAAATTGTCCGTAGGTGTGAATGTGAGTGTGCTTGGTTGTCTGTCTCTAAGTCCAGGGTGTCCACTGCCTTCGCCTTCAGTCAGCTGGGATAGACTCCCAAGAATCTACTCAGTATCTGGTACACATAATCAAATCCTCACCACCTGCAGGTGTCTCGACAATTTGCAGTTGGAAGGTTTAATCTCCTGTTTTTTAATCAATTAATCAATTTAATGGTGCAAACTTCAATGTTACTAAAAAATAGTAATAAAATAAAATGTATAAATAAATTTAAAAAATGAATAGAAAAGCATGTGAGAAGCTGGAACCATGAAATATTGGATCATTTATGTGACAAATACTTTTTCAGCTATTATCACAGTTTCAGATTCATTTTCCATCAAGGGACCGACCAATTATTCATTTCTGTTAACTCAGTTAGGTCATTAAAGCTGCCAGATAAGTGTTGTGGAGAAAAAAAAACCTATATTCCTCTGAAATGTTGTTTATGTTGGTATAACAGTAAAGTTGAACTTCCTTGCAACACTCAAAAGATCGCTGGAAAGTCTGATTCAACAAATATTATCCCCGTAAGTAACAAAAGCTCATTAAAAATGTTTCTTAGTCAAATCAAATCAACTGCTGCTGAGTGCAAATCTGTGTTTCTTCATTTATTACAGCTGCCTGGAGATCATCTTCTGTTTCTCTTCATCCTGTTGGTTCAAACACTTCATCACATTCAGTCACCGCAGGCTCTGAGGAAACATTTGCAGCTTCTTTTCCACCAAAACTTCAGCCACGAGACGACCAAAGCGTTTGCAGTGAGAGGGTCTATAAAGCAGGCTGAAGGCTCTCCTCTCCTCACAGTGGAGCTCATTAGCAGGAAAATCACAGGAGTAATTCATCACCTTAATTAAAGCTGCGTAGCTTCACGGTGCTCCACTTCAAGAGCCCTGCTGTTCATGTTCCACGGACTAAAGAGGAGTTATTGTGACTGAGTTATTCGTTACATCCATTGTTTTAGCCTCAGCCGGCCTTGGCCTTGATATTTATATCCACAGAAAGTAATTAGGTTTATACTATATGTTGCATTTTCCTGCCAGGGAGGGAAATTAAACACATTTTAAAAGTTCTGAAAGTGAAAAAAAAATCCTAATAGAACCAGATTTTAACTGTCTAAATGAAAACTATCACATAAAAAGTCCAACATAAGAAACTGAGTCAAATGTTTGACGCAAAAAATTATGACATGGAGTGAATTAGGACAAACTAAGAGCAAATAATGACGTCAAATTTAAGGTTTGACTTCCTGAAGTGGTAGGGAGAAGAAGTGTAGGACTTCAAACCTCATGTTCTGCTTAATTGTGACTTAAAGTTTCAGTTTAATATCTTTCAAGGGTCATTATTTTGACTTTAAAACATCAGGAGTCTCCTGCACGACGATCTTTGTTTTTATCATAAGCTATGGATAAAATAGTATCTGAAACTTCAGCTTGACATATCAAATAGTACATTCATTAAATTATACATAAAGTATAATAAAGTATAAAGTAAAATTATATAAAATTATACATAAACAGTTTTAGTATGTAATATTTCTGTAAAAATTCCACTTTCAGCAGATTTTTCTTTTTTTCAGGTTTGATAATATCTCAGGAACTTAATTTTCACTGTTTTAAATCACGTCATTGATTCCAAATTTGCAATATTCGACAAGTTGATCAAACAATCTCATTATGGGTGAGTTGAAATATGAAAAAAATTCATAAAAAAGTCCCGTCTTAGAGCACATTAATAAAAAACTTGACAATGCAGAACTACTGAGATTTTCTGACCCACATGAAGCTGCACGTCACCGTTAACACAGAAAAACACTTTTAAATATGAAATACTTGATGACAAAAATAGAGAAAAAAAAAATTGTTGATCCTTCACAACTGATGGAGCAAGTAGGACAAGTTGTACCTGAAAAGCTCAGTGTTTGCTATCGGAGGAGACTTGTCATTCAGTTTATGTCACTTCTTTGGGTTCTGGAGTTTCAAAATGGTTCTCTGAATTAAAAATAACACACTTCTGAATGCAGGTATAAAATGTTGTTTTCTGTCTTCTACTACTTGTTGGAATTGGTTCTCGAAAGTAAACTTTTCCTACTAATACACATTGACTTTAACTTTCTGCACAGCTTGTGATTTCGGTTTTAAAGCTCCGTTTTATTCCCAGTTGAACACAAAGCAAGACAATCCAGTTTGATCCAATGAAACCGTTTCCACTATGATGAGGAAATTTGCCATTTAAGTGAGGCTCATATAAGTACATTAAACTACCACTGAATATATGTCAAGATATGAAAATGTCCTATAAAATCCCAGCTGATCTGATTATAATATGCTGATATTAATCTAATGCAGTGAGAACTCCCAAAGACGCCACAACGCTACCCGACAAGTCTCCTCCAAAACAAGGCTGAAGCCTACAAAGTGGGGCTTTATTAGTTATATTTGGAGAACCATTGTGAACATCTTTAGTTTTTGTGGTACAATTTGTGACGCCTGCTTAATCAGTTCTGAAGTTCAATGAAAATAATGATTTTTTTTTTTAATAGTATTTATTATTGAAAAACAGAACAAGTGTAAAAACAAACAACAAAGAGTATCTGCTTTGGAATATCTCTTATTAGAGGTCTTTATTCCAGTTCAATAAAGCCAACAGCATCTACCTGAGTCACAGGTAAACCTCCACGTCCCTGCTTCATACCTTTATTCCTCACGTCTTACACGACGATCACAAAATAGTGATTTCTCCCTCGTGTCGCATCTCTGACGCTCCAGGCATACGTACTTACATTTACTATTTGTACAATATATTGTCATTAAATTCATTCATCCATTAATTCATCCACCCCCCATTCACATGCGCACACATAAACACTGTACAGATTCATCAGTGGAGACGTTCCCAAGGCCTTTCGCCCGAACGCTTTACGTCAAGGAAAGACACAGCTCAGTACCGTTGGTTTGTTTTTCAAGTTGACTGCTGCGAGATGATTTGTTCTAAAACTGAGAAGGTGGCGTGCAGATATAATACAGAGTGGTGACAACCTCTTATGTGTTCAGAGGACCTCAGTCCTGTTTTTCAGGAAGAAAATGGTAGAAAATGGAGATTCAGACAGAGAGGGAGAACGAAACATGTGAAATACAAAGAAAGTGTAAATGTTCTTCCCTCTTCCCCTTGTTCTAGCTTCAACTCTTAGTGTATAAACGTCTAAAGCCAAGCTGAGGGCAATGACAGTTCAGCAGTTTGGTTTCTTCTGTTGGTTCCTCAGTGTGGTTCATACAGGAGCGACTATACAAGCAGTGACATTTACAGTACGGTACATACAGGTAGCATCTTAAACCTCCAATACTGACGCCTTGTCTGCGATTCAGCCCGCTGAGGCTTTACTTCTGCTGCTCCTTTGGTCTCCGTCAGTCTGTGCAGTAGTCGAGGCTCGTTCGGCCCACGCGTTACCAGTTTTAGGAATCCAGTGTCGGGACAGAAGGACTTTGCAGTAAAGTGGCACAAATGCAGCTGCAGGAGGAAAATGAGACACTGAAAAGTGCAAAAACTTTTTGGTCGCTAGTTCTACGTTTTGGTTCATGAGACGCGGTTGCTGGTCCGGGAGGTCGGAGAAGCCGGTTAATAACAGTGAAGCCAGGTTGAGTTAGAGATGAAGAGAAGCTGCGCCGAGCGACGGCCGGACCGAGTCGAGCCAAACCGAGCTAGTCCGGGATGGTTTTTTGGCAGGGCCATGCTGCGTTAGGAAGAGCTCTGCAATGGGAGTGGGAAAGAAAAAGGAAGAAAGGCTCGTCCTCTAGCGTCTACCTGCCAAAAATGTTCTCATACTCCAGCAGTATAAGCTCCACTATCTGGTTCTGATAGACCATGTGGACCGCCATGTTCCAGGTCTCCGTTTCAGGCCGCAGCAGCGTCGGGCCGAACACGATGGCGACGCTCTGGGTGGTCATACGGTTCTCCTCGCCGTAGTCGATCACTCTGGAGGAACAAAGGAGAGTCAGACCAAACGGAAGCAGCCTGTTTGTGGGAGGGATTTCTAAATGGATCCGTCTATTCACTGGAACCAGCTGAGGCATATCGGCAGCATGTGGTTGTGTGAGTCACAGACTAAACAAGACGAGGAGCTTTTGCTTTTGTATTATATTATGTCTTCAGCTTTTGGACGCAGCATAGTCCTGGGAAACTTGGAAGGTTTTAATTTGGTTTGTTAAATATGTGTAAGTCAACATCTACAGATTACAGTAGACTATGTAAGGAACAGCAAAAATTGGCAAAACAAATGCAACATGGTGATCAAGACCCTAAAAAAAAGCCTGTTGGATACAAAATAGTTATTTCCTTTGTACTATTTGCTTAACTAACACACTTTATGACCTGTTTCTGTGCATAAGGTCATAAAAATATAAATAGAAGCCCGATCAGTTTTTACATTTGCAGAGCAGATCTCCACTTAGACGCTGCTGGTAAGTTTTGGTGGTAATAGCAGAACAAAGGCTGTTCAGGTGCAATTTGCAGCGTGATTTTAAAGGAAAGCATTTGCAGACAGACACTAAAACAAACACCAGAGGACACCGGCTGATCAATAGACGCTAACAATAAAAACAGATCAACAGTGTTGGCTAAAAAAAGCGACTTGTTGGTGGACCAACGATTTACAAGCAAAAAAATGTAGTTTTCCAGTGTGTGGCTTTAAATTTGTCACTAAAGTTATACAGAGATCATTGAAGTGTCTGCGGTGTTAGAATTTAATTAGCACTGAATAATGTTTCCTCATCAGATGTGAGAATTTGTTAATTTTCTCCTTCAAAATTGTGTAAATTGAATGTCACTGACTTCTGAATATTTGCAGATGTGATCTTGGGATGCGGTTTGACATTTTTCAAAATTTCCTGGTGGGTAAATCTGCTGACTAAAAAAACCTGTTTAATCAACAATTAACCATCTGCTAATCACTGCAGAGCTGAATCTTTCTATGTGATATAAACTGTGTTCATGTGTAGACGGTGCCTGTTCTTGAGTATTAACAACTTTAGGGTTTAACTTTTGTTTATGGGGAAAACAATTCAAACAGTTGTGTTTTTCTTACTTCCTGAGGTGTTTGAAGAGAGCCTGCATGGTGTCGTGGTTGGGTTTGGGCAGCTGTCTCACCAGATCTTTGATCGTCTGAACTCTGTGCTTGTAGTCGGGCAGCTCTGCAGAACGAAAGACAACATCGATCAATCAAGTTACTGTCACTTATTATTAAACTGGTTTTCTGGGTAGAGTTATGGGAGAGCGGTGGCCACCCACACCTTTCTGCATTCAGCTCACGCTACATCCTTCCAAGTCCGTACAAAATCTGAAACAAAAATCCCTTCAAAACGAACTCCTGGACAAAAAAAAATCCTTCTTGAGCTGAGGTCTATGAAGTGTTTCAATAAATTGATGGTTTGGACTTTTGCAGCAGAAACTTCTTGTTTAACTCTCTGAACCCCAGAACCTACCAGGGGGTTTGCAAGGCAGGTGATCTTTGAAAAATTGCCAAAATGGCATCATTTAACAGAGCAAGACACTGTAAAAAATGAGAAAATGGTCAGATTTGTAGTTTTTGGACACACCATGAATGTGTCATTTATAACATGCAGCTTAACTACTAAAAAAAAAGTAAGAAATCTAAGCTTAAAACTGTGATATTTCATCATAACCACTTTATTCTTCTTTTTAAAAAATGCTAAAAACAAACTTTTTGCACCAGATTTGACAAAAATCCAAAAATTCTGGGATCCTCAGTGCAACTAAGAAGCCACGTCTGACTCAGCTGTGTCATGTGACAAAAAAGTTTGTGACTTTTCGGGTGAATTGAAGGCTCACAGAGCAGAGAGGAGACAAGGAGAGAGTTTGAAAATTAAATATACCTGCTCAATAGAATACATTCACCATTCGCTACAACATGGCATCCAGAGGACGGCGTTGTTGGAAGACACATCCAACATGGTGAAACACTTTCTAGAAATGATGTGCGAAGTTTGGAAAAAAAAAAAAAAGAGAGCTTTTCTCATATTGATTATATCTGTGGCACAAAATGTTGCACAGATTTTTACAGTTTTTTTTCAACTCTTAGAGAAATTTAATGTAATGATTTTCTGTTTTAGAACCATATAATTTTTGAAAAAAATGCCGTTTACTTCATGTCATGGTTGTGCTGTTTTCATAGAGATGCAGGACTTTATATTCTAGTAAAAAAAAAAAAAAAAAGTCTACGGTGAATAAAAATATGACAGCAGCAAGAAAAAAACAGCCAGAAACAGTTTGGTGTTCAGAGGGTCTGAGAAGCAAACAGAGATTCTTCTAATAACATGACTAATAACACAGAGAGTATATTCAGGTCACAGTGCGAGTCAACGCATGAATAGATCCACATAATTGTGCTGCAGCTGCTTGTGTCACGTACTGATGGCGCTGACAAAGTCGTGGAACAGAGCGTAGGTGAAGAGCGGCTCCGGCAGCTCTCTGAAGTACATCTTTAAAGCTCCAGTGGTCACATGGATGTCCTCCCACTTCCCGTCTGCCAGGTTCACCTTCTCGTCTGGACACACAAACCCTTCATTTAGTGCGATCTATATACCCTTTTAGTGTCTCACAAAACAAAAAACAGACTGCCAGCAATTCAAATCAGTGTTTCCAGCCTTTTCTATTATTGTTTATGTTGCTATTGTTGTAGGTGCCCCTGACCAGGTAACTATAGAGTAATCGCTCCCACCTGTGTGTCCGTCTGTAAACCATCGCTAGCTCCAGTGCTAAGGTTCTAACAAGCTGATATTTTACAGGTGAGCCAGGAATGGCCTCAGAAGGATTAGATTTTGGGATCAATCAGTGCAAAAACAGCTCTGCTCGTGTTCAAGGGTCCCTTTTTTAAAAATGCTGTATACCTTCAAAAGGGTAGAAGTTAGATTTCTGGCATTTGGTGCAGATAAACACCATGTTGGGGCTTTCTGCTGGCGATGGTACATTTGACCTTGGGTGATACGTTAAGGTCAAACTCAAGGTCATAAGTTCTGACTTAACTGTAACTTGAGAACGGTGCAAGATAGACACATTGATTGCACTGGAAACCGTATATAGACTTCCCACTGGGGATGACATTTGACCTTGGGTGACATCTCAAGGTCAAAGCATTTTTAGATTGCCATTATATTGTAGATAACATGCAATGCATACATGGATAGTACCCACCTCACTTCGGACAACTAGCCAACCATAATTAGTGAAAGAAAACACTTATTTTGTGGTAAGTTAGACAATATAATGGTTTACTGAGGTTCAGTGAATTCATGGCTGGCAGGGGCAACTATATCCCTCTACTGAGGGCCCTCAAGTTTCTGTATTTAATGATGGAGAAAAGCAGTTTGAGAAGGCGGCAACTCACCGTGATTGACAGCAAAGCGTAGTTTCTGTATGACAGCCAGGTTTCCGCTCACTCTGTACAGCCCGTCCACACACAGACCTGCAGGGATTCAACACTGGTTTCAACAGCTGCTAATTATTAGAAAAATCTGAGCAGCAAAAGAGTTGCCAATGCAGTGACTGTCAACCACATCTTATCTGACACAAGCTGTGTTATCAGGAGGCAGTAAACCTCACCCTTCTTTTACTATAGGTCAGCGATCCCCAACCACCGGGCCGCGGACCGGTACCGGGCCGCACAGAAAGAAAAACAAGTTTTATTGTTTTATTTTTATTTCCAGCGCAGTCTACAGGGTGTTTTATTTTGAAAAATGATTAGCTCGTCTTCCCATCACTTCCACCTGACACGTGACTGTCAGTTTTCATGCTCGGCGGCTAAACGACGCCGTCAGTCTAACCGCTGCCGAAATGTAAAACAATACAAACGTCTCTGGAGAGCTTCTTAGGAAAGTGGGAAAGACTCGATGCTGAGACAGAGGAAAGAGTAAACACATATTTAGCAAGTCATTTTTTTCGTTTGTGAAACTTGTGAATAGAAAAAAAATATTTTTGTTATGTGCACAATCACAGGGCTGTAGAAAAATTTCTTGGTCCGTAGTGCAAAAACGGTTGGAGACCGCTGCTACAGGCAACTTAACAGAAACTAGAATAGTTTCCTCTTAACTGCTACGATGACCCACCATTATTCTCCACGTGGTCGATGCACGTCTTGACAAAGAAGGGCACCGTGCTGCTCTCCCTGTGGCACAAACTGGACAGACTGCAGCCAAACACCTGATCTAAAGACACAAACAGACAAGAGCACCGTTACAAACCAGTCCAAAGTCCTGGGCTTGTTATAACCTGTGTTTCATTTAGAATGTCACAATACCATTTAATATCTTCCTGTTTTGAGTTTCCTTAGAGCTATAAAACATTTTTTCACATGTACTTTAGTTTAAAGCGTGGCTATTATAATAAGTCACAGAGTTATAAAACTTTACTGATTCTTGTAGCCACAATAGCCTATTGCAGGAATATGTACTGATATATTTTGTTATGCTCAGTGTAGCATAAGAAAGATTTAAAAAACATCCCTGCTACACACAAATACAAACACCCAGCTGCAAATGAAAATATGACAACAGAATAATAGCAGCCAGTCCTCAATAATACAGATTTTATGTGGTCAAAACATATAAAAAATAGCAGAATTTCACACCACAAATGTATTAATCAGAGCTCGTATATTCCCGTCAGTTAAGAAAGAGCATCTGCAGTGAACAGTGAGCATCGAGATAAAAAAAGAAGTTTATGCTTCTCCCTCCGGCACCTTTGATGTATCCCTTGTCTCTGACGGCCTGCAGCGTCGGTCGGCGGGTCAGGAACTTCTTGAGCTTGTGTCTGGTCTTCTTGTTGTCAGAGGCGTCCATGCTGGTGGAGGGCTTCATGGCTGCGGAGGAGAAATGAGAAAGGACGGCGTTATCCACCACTCGTCTCAGCACGCTGATCGCCATGGCGGCCGCTCCGTGTTTTGGAGGAATGAAACTGATAAGGAGTTGTTTATAGTTTAAGTAGGACCCACTCCTTGTGTTGTTGTTGTTGTACTTTGTGCTTTTACTTTCAGTCTCATATAGTGCATGTAAATCTTTGATACTTGACGATTTATCAGCAACATCTCTGGACCTTTTATTTACTGTTTTATTTTTAACATTTCCAGCTCATGTGTTCACCTCTGCCTTTCTTGGAGTCTCTGTGGTCTTTCTCCTTGTCGTGTTTCTCCACTCCAGGTGATTCGGGCATGTCCTCTTCAATCGCCTCATCGGACTCCCAAGCCTAAAACACACACACATGAATAAATGAATCCCATCAGGAAATAAGATATGACGGGCTGTAAAAGTCTCTACCTGCGCCCTTTGGCCTCTCAGTAAATCAGTAAATTTGATCAGTTTGATTACCTTTAAAACCAGTTGGGTCACCTTAAAGCAAACAACGTGTTAACTTTGAGCCTTATTATTCAAAGTATTGTCTTTTTTTATGGGGCTTTTCAAATGTTGTTTCCGTTTCAGTTCAACTTAAGTTGTTTCAGCTTCTTCACAAATGTGCTTGTTTTACTGTGAGTTATTTATTGGGAGAGCTGCATAACAACAAACTATACAGTCGTCCTCCAATGTATTCATACCCTCCCATTAAAGAAGGAAAAAGACAGCTGTCACTGAGATAAGCTGAGACTGATAAAAGTAATAATAAATTTAAAAAAAAGAAAAAGAAAGAAAATCATGACATTGCTTTTGAATTGTGTTTCAACAGAAATATTAGAAACAAACAAACAAACAAACAAAAAAGCATGATGGGACCCATAAACTAATATTTTGAGCCAATCACTGCAGTCAAGTGTTTTCTGTAACTCTCCGTCAGACTTCTGCACCTGTTCTGACCCACTGCTCATCTAATCTGTCCGGGAAAGTTTTGTTTGCTTTTTTAAATTATTCTTGTCAACCACAACTCAAAAGCAATGTCTTATTTTACTAGATTATAATTTAGCAATTTTTTTTTTTTTATTACTTTTTTCACTATTGTGAATTTTGCCTTTTCTTTAATGGAAGGGTATGAATACATTTGAGGACGACTGTATATCTATATTCAGCATATGTCAAACTATTCCACACTATTTCTAAACTGTTTCAAACTTGTTAACTTCTCAGTTTTGTTCCCGTGGTTCAAATAAGTAGCTGGTGTTCAGTTCATGCCCCACACCCCAGAAGGTAACGTGGATACAGTCAGCTTCCTCTCATCAACCACGATCTAAAACCCTCTTTCTCGACATATTTCTTCACACTTAAAACTCAGCAAATCTTCTAATTGCAGGCAGTTTTAAGCTCTTGGTTTTGGGTGAAACAGATAAAGGGTTTTGTGATTAAATGAAGGTGTTGGTCCTCACATGGGTGCTGATGGTGTCCTGCAGCGCTCTGAACCAGTCGTTGATGACGCCGTCGTTTTCGGACTGGATCAGCAGCTCTGTGCCCTGCCGGGTCTTCAGCTGCAGTCACAAGAGAGACGACGTCTTTTATCGACTTTCAGCCACATACACACAAAAAATTAAAAAAACGACCTCACGCACGAACATTGTGTTCTAACACTCAGTATTCATGAAATGTGCTTGTGAACGCAGCACTCATTATTTTCAGAGTAATTGCTGGATTGGTGGTTTCTAATGCCTTCATCTTGTGTTTCTAAACAGCCCGCTTTGCTTTTAATCTTCATGTTTCAAGACAAAATGTATTGTGTTAATAGTTGGTATAAAAAGTATGGGTCATTCTGTTCATGTTGACTGTGTGATTTTAAGGCTCTAGCATTTTTAGTTAATGAAAACTCAACCTTTATGAAACAGTACACAGTTGCATCAATTAGGTTCATTTGTCTGAAACTGAACATGGAGGAGTTTTGAATGTGATTCCCGGCAAAAGGAGAAGATTAAAAATGTCTATGGGTGCAAACATTGACTCATTTTGTTAACAGATTATTGGCATTATTACCGATCAATAAACTGAGAATTGTAATCATTAGACCTTGTGCTGATATTATTGTTGTGGTTAAGGACGTGTTATTGGATGAAAAAGAGGAATAATTAGAACAGTTGATTAGGCTTCACATAAGTCTCTGTCATGGTTTCTGTTGCAGCTAACTCCCACAATGCTCTCTGCTTGCCAAAACGGTCACTATGGGATTAAACAGTAACGAGGCACTACATTTCAAGTACAATGTTTTCTGTGCTTTGTCTTGCCTTATTGGTTTAATATAGAGTATGTCACAGAAGTTATTTCTGCAAATATTTTATGATACCTTTTCATGGGACAACACTGAAGAAATGACACTTTGCTACCATGTAAAGTAGTCAGTGTACAGCTTGTATAACTGTACATTTACAAAATAACTAAATTCACAGCCATTAATGTCCAAACAGCTGGCGACAGAAGTGAGAACACCCCAAAGTGAAAATGTCTACATTGGTTTTGTGACATACTGTATTTTTTACCAAGTAAATCATTAATGACAAATAATCGGTTAACCGTTACAAATAAGGTAAAATTAGAGTTTTCTCTCACCTCTATGACGTGCTTCTTGCTGGACTTGTCCTTGGAGGCCCATTCCACTGAGCCACCCCTCAGGTCCACAGTGAACTCTGGTTTGGACTGACCACCTCCAAACTGAACAGGGAAACCAAAACAATAACAGAACGACATATCAACTCACAGCGTACGGTTTGTCTTTATTCGTGACTGTTCAACCATGCAACAGCTTGTGTGGATGAGATTGTTTTTAAAAATAGGCTAACTTGCAGATTAAGAGTCAGAGTTTGGAGTCAACTCTCTACACAACTGTAAAATTAGTTTCATTTGTCGAAGAGGTACGAAGAAGAAAAAGTCGCATTTTCAGCTGTTTGCAGGCCAGATAGTCAGTGATGCACCTCGTCTGTTAGTTGTTTAACAGTAAATAAATGACTGATAAATGATCATTTGATCTGTGTAAATGATGTTGTGGTGAAGTAGGGGTGGGAATCACTGAGCAACTTACGATATGATCACGTTACCCATGATAACAATGTCATACAGTGATTCTTTGCAAGACCATTATCTACCCTTCATCATATTATCTGTGAAACTGAAGACAAAAAAACTTCTAAAAAGGCAGAAAGCAGGAAGTATTTATTCACTGCATGTTGGTGTCAGCCTAATTCAATTGAATAGTTCTCTGTTTTGCCTTCCTCAGCTGTCTACAATCCCTTCTGCAGCATATGAGTTTCTTCTTCACCACAGGTCAGTCAACTTTTGTTTACTTCACTCTCATCCATTTGATAACACCACGAGGAGTCATAAAGTCATGATTCTGGCGTCATAACAACATGTGCTGCACCCTTACTCATATGCATGTAAAATCTAATCTTCAAATGCATTAAAGAAAGTGACCCCCAGACAGAATCAATCATCACAAACAAATATTGTATACCTCTAGAGCTCATTAAAAGTGCACTATATGGGACTTTCACCTTCTTTGTTGCATAAGCCTGCACAGAAGCATCTAAAAACTGTGTGTACCTGAGGAACGCTACAACTTCCCTACAAGCCGCAGAATGAACACTTTCACATGTTGTCTCTAATCTTTGCGTCATGTCGGTGACTGATGACAAACAGAGGGGTTGGCGTCAGAGCAGGAGGGAGGTTTCATGCAGAGGAGAAGAGCAGGAAGCACACATAAGGAAGGAGGAAGCACATACAGAGGAGGCCTGGTCGAGCCCAGAGCGGCCATAGAAGACAGCAGGACGTCTCTTAGCCGACGGCCTCCAATTACTCAACAGTGACAGGAGCAATTCAGGGAAGGAGTCACTGTGGTAGCATGGCTGCATGAAGGAGGGGGGGATGAAGAAAAGGATGATAGGAGGACGAGGCCAAGGGTAAAGACATGGAAAGAAAAGGAAACATCCAGAAGACAGAAAAGTCAAGCCCAAATCCCCTTCAGTGACCTGACAAACAGCCTGAAAACTGCACTGTGATAGAAAGTTGGCATAAAAATGTAAACCAGCTGTTCGTCTCATCATGAAAGTTATTTTGACAGCGACTGACTGAGACAATCAGGCTCATCTCCTCAGTCTTTTACACAAGCTGTAGAAGAGTTGACTCGGGTGAAGAAGTCAAAAGATGGCAGGAGAAGGTTCCTGTCACTCACCCAGCTGGTCCCGCCTCCTTGTCCTTTGGCAAACAGCAGCGTTGAACCTTGGAGGACTGTCCAGGAAGAAGTCCAGTTCTTCCTGCAACAGATATTGTAAACACTTAAAAGGACTAAAAGTAAATCCATGAAGAATTATTGTGTATTTATTCAGCAACAGTGCATAATACTGTAAAAACGGGAAGCTAGATAGGGAGTTTGACCTGGCCATGTGTACATTTTTACAGCGTCTACATACTAGAGAGTTTTTACGCTGCTCTTCACACCAAGTCTAGAAAGATGCTTCATCATGCTGAATGTATCTTCCAACTACTTGTTGACCACTTGCTCAACACTATGCAGTCGTGGTGCACGATACTAAAATTTCTGACCGATATCTGATATTAGGATTTCTGATATCTCCGATAACCAACATTACCGATGTCGATATTACATTTTTTTTTACACTGAAAAATGAGTGTAAGTAAGAACTGTGAAAACTATTCAAAAGAAGCTCATATCAAATTAGACCACATAGTCTTCTTTAGTACGTAACAAAAGGACAACACATTAAAACATATGTAAACATTTTTAACGTTCAAGTCCAGGACTATTTAGGTAAAAAATATCTGAAATAGCAGCAACATCAAATGTAGAGATGAAGGCGCTGATGTTAGACAACCATCAGTTTTTCACATCGGCTAAATTTGTTCATCGGACCGATACTGATCTATGGGAAAAAAACACTAATTTCAGCCGATACCGATGTGTACAGTTTTTCTAAACATTATTTTATATCGTGCCCTTTATTTTGCTCTTAGTCTCCTCTCTATTGCATGTATTTGTCACGAGACTGATGGTCACAGCCGGGTCACTCACAGCTGTTTAGTTGTGCAAAGGAGTTGAACAGTTGGATTTTTTAATGAGAGTAGTTTTAATACAATTTTTCTTCCTTTTTTTTTCTTGAGAGAATCATCCATCACACACGACATGTTCACAGACCTCTGGAAAGTAGAAAATCTCATTCTTTGTTTTTACTGCATCTTGCTATAAGAAATTGTGCAATTTTGTTGATTCTTAAAAAAAAAAAAAAAAAAAAGCATGTACCTAAAAATGCTTTTCAAACCCAGTGATGAGTTCTGAGGTTCAGAGGGTTCAATCCATTAAATGGGCCGATGAATTGAACAGACAAAATCTAACACTGATGGACTTTAGAAGTCTCGTTTATCTTATTAAAAAAACACAAACGTGAAACTCAGGTGACAGCTGTATTTTCAGGTGACACCTCGTCCTATTTAGCAGGGCAGCAGTGCAACACGAAGAGAAATACTCTCATTCCAACCAAAGCTGCAAAAATACACATTTTCCAAAGCAGTGGAACGACGCTGAAAAAATATTCCTCCAAACAACTTTCAATGTCACGGAAAATGCTTTTAACTTGTTAGAAAAACAAACTTAATAATCACAACTGAAAACAAAATGGGGACATTTCAACAAACTTAAATGGACAAATTACATGAAAAGCTCGACATCTAGACGATGGAGGACAATAATAACATCGGCTTTAGAAGCCAGCGCGACTCACCGTACTTTCTTGCCATGTTCAGTGATCTTTGTCACATTCAGAACTCCACATTTTTCAGACGGCTGCGGAGGAAAGAAGCGAACATCAGTATGCACATTACCTTACATCAAACACATCACTCACACAAACCGTGATTGGCAACCGCAGCCGGATCACGCAAGAGAAAGATGCTGTCACATCTTGGCATACGAGAAGCATTTATAAAACACCACCGCCACCTCAAAATGCCACCGCCACCAGACCAATAACAGCTTTCAGCTCTGGGGAAAAACTACTGTGTCATTATACCCACTCAAGAAAAGCAAGTGATTAAACACTGATTAAAATAATTCAGGCTAAAGGTTTTGTGTGCATCCTTCAGACACAGACGGTGATTTCTGGATAAGCAGCCCGTCCAGGAACACAAAATATATGTATTTCTTTTGGCAATAATAAAAAAACAAAAAAAACCTTCTGTGTGATTTAAACAAGGCCAAGCTACACTTTGATACCCTGCGGTGCTGCAGTTTTCCTACACAGGCTCAAGCAGTTCTTCAACTTTATTTTTGTTGTGACAGTTTTCTTGCGAGACGTCGAGGCTCTTTTCGTACGCTGGGACACGATCCTTTCCAAAGGTTGCTTCTCTAATTATTTTCAAGCCCGTGTAGGAACCCTGCAATGAGCTGCAACGTGTGTGTCGCTGCCTACAATCTGGGTTAAAGCGCTGCAGGAGGCGAGGAGGCGAAGGTTAGTGGTGAGTACTAACGGAGGCGGGGGGCTTGGGAGACGAAGGGCAGGAGTCAGAGTCGGGAGAGGGGGGCTTGAGGCCCTGAGGAGCATCCTAGTATGGGGGGAAAAAAAACAAAACACTGTAACATGGACTAACAAAAGATGGTTAATGAGAAGATGATGCAAGGTCAAGAAGACAAAGAGGGCTGAGAGAGTGTGATGGTAATTAGCAGTGAGATCATGATGCTGCAAAGTCTGTCGAGTTCCTGTTAATTAAGATACGGGTGCAGTTATTTCTCAGACATCTCATGCAACTGCTAATGACTTCAGGTTTAGGGGGGATCAGTATATTTTTTTGATTCATCACTCATCGTGGCTGAAATTCATCAAGTGTATGATTGAATGTTTTTCTGGTGAAATGATTCACATGAACAATCAAATCAGGTTTGACAGTGAAGAAAGAGATTTAAAAAAATACACCTGTTGCTTGATTACGTTCATGCATGCTGATTGTGTGTTTGGATTCAAGGAGGAGGCTCTGATTGTTTGGTCTGACAGGCTACTGACTTGGTGTTTGTACGGGTGTGGGCGGGCAGAGCCTGCACGGAAACGCCTGGTTTTTAACAGCCGCTGCAAAGCAACAATTCTCCAACTGAAAATCTCGACTCATCAAACATCCCACCAGGGGGAGAGCAACAGATAACAGCTGCATTTAGCTCTAAATGGTAGATTTTTAAAGTCCACACACAAGTAAAACTGAAATCAGGTGTAAAAGAAATGCATTTGAGACGTGACAATATTTTGTTAGCAGTGACGTCAGTTATTCAAAAGTGAAGCTAAACCACAGTTTGCAGACGAGTGGTGTCAGACCTTGTCGTTGGGGTCTTGGACGTAGGCACTGTGTCTCCAGTTGGTCAAGACGATGGGCGCCACATGTTTCCTGTCCAGACTGCGACTCTTTGGAGCGTCTCCGGTCGGCTGAGGAGGGGAGAGGTTGTACTGCAAAGAGAGAACAGGAAAATCAACACATCAACATCCTGTTAAGGTCTTTTCACGTAAATATGACGAGTATTTATTCTGTTATAACAGAACATGTGTGCATTGTTCTGTCAAAAGTTTAAATGATCTTACATAAACACTAAGTGGGACTGTAACAAAGATAAATTGTCATTAACTGAAATTTGTGTGCTGCAATAATGCCATACATTATTACCACTATGCACACATCACATGAAAGACTCATTGTAGTGGTCTCCCTCCAGTCATTGATTCAACCCCTAAAACCTCATCTCTACATATTCAGATAGTTTTTCTATAAAATAACCATTTCCTGCTTTAAAAATGGCATGGATGTATCTTTACACCCTTGCTTCCTCTAGTGTGTGAATTTATGAAGTCTCTCTCCACTCCACTACTCGGTGCAGCTTGAGCACACCTGCTCACCTACAACTCTGCTCAAACACTGTAAAACTACTCTACGCTACACAGTGCAAGTTGCTATGTTGTAATTTTGGAAAAATTAGGTAACTGAGCTGGAAAATGATTTTGAAAATGCTAATAATACAGAAGGTCCCACCCTGCAAGTTGACAGCATCAATTTATTTAAGTTTGTAATGTGTAAAACCCTGGAAGCCTGCAAACTGTAGTTTCAAGGAGAGACGGTTCAGTCATGCCATTATCTATTTATCTATTTTGTCTATGATGTGTTTTTCAGCATAATAAAAACACCATGTGGACACGTGAACAACATCTGCTCTTTACTGAACGGTGTCTTTAAACTAAGCTGACTTCAGAGAATTTTTTGCCACCAGCTTTGAGAATTCATAATTTTAATAAAATATCAAGCAAAAAGTCAGACATTCAGAGATTTCAGCTCCTGTAGTGTACACCTGTCTCTTACTGGTCTTGTTTTATATTATTGTCAGTTGCCTGTGTGTGTTTTTGGACTGCCAGTCGGAAAAACAAGTAACGTGAGTGCAGTACTTCATGTGGGCGCTCGTTCACATTTCACTAATTGACTGAAAAAATAATTATCAAATGAATCAAAAATTAAAACAATTATTAGCTGCAAGCCTTTTGATCTCAGTAGAGATGACATTTAGAGTTTTAGTGTCAAATTAAATTATTTTAAAGTATGGACGTATAAACGTTTGTGTCATACATGTCATTTTGAGCTGCATGTATAACGTGCTCAGCTGTTCAGTCAGCAGTCATTTTTAGAATTTAGATGAACTGTAAGACATGCTTACCTTTGGCAGCTCCCATTCTGACCTGGAGCCGTCTGCACTGTAGTAATAAGGTCTGCCCTGGTCATCAACGTGTTTTAACCACTGATGGTGCAAAGACAGAGACACGGGAGAATAATCTGTGCTGTGAGTTCTTAAAGTTTCTCTCTTATGTGTGAAATGTGTTTAAATCTACTGATCAATAAACAAACACGAATGTTTCAGACATTCGAAATTTAAATCCATGTCTGTTCTACGTCTCTGAGTGGGTTTTGACAGTAACGGGATTAATGCAATTAGTTTTTAAGAAGTTACAAAAGCACCTAATTATGCATGTTGAGAAAATAACTGTGTGCCTACATTTTGGTGTTATACTTTCTTTTGTTGTTGTGAAACAGCTCTGCCTCTGCAGTGTGGAGGAAACATTGAAGTTGAGCACACCCAAGAAGAAATGTGACATAAATCAGACCCGAATCTGCTCCCCCAGAAGCCACCACAGCACAGACAGAGCAGATGAGCCCCGTGCAGCCGGTACCTTCTCGTTAGTATAGTCGCTGACGTACAGCGTGTGGCCGTGCTCATCCATCTCCTCCGACCAACCACGCGGCGGCGAGCCATACTGGCTGTCTGACTGGCTAGAGTAGGTGCTGAAGCAGGTGTCCTCCGACGACAGAGGCTGCAGTCGACCAATGGAGAGCGACAGGAAGGGAAGGAAAGAAGGGGAGAGCGAGAGAGGGGTGGTCTACCATTAGTGTAAAGAGAAAGACAGACAGAGAGAGAGAGAGAGAGAGAAAGAGAGAGAGGGCATTTTTCACCATGAAGGAGAAAAGACAGTCATGCACCCAAAACCAATAAATCACCACAAGCTCCCCACCACCAGTTTATTAGAGCACAGAGAACCAGAAAACCCATCAGAGCTGACAATAAATGCTTGATTGTGGACAGTGAGGAGTAAATCTGCAGGCGGCTCCGTGACACAAAACTGACGAAGTGACTGTGTTTGGTCTGTAGGTGGCAGTGTGGTGCAGCCATTTAATGAAACGGAGGCTGACTCACAGTCAGAGATGACTCCCTGAAGACTCAGGCTAATGTGTTATGTCACTAAGAGTTTGTTTTTGTGTGGGAGCTGATCATAAAAATAGTCATTGACTGCTGACTAATAATTTCCCTCCAAATAGTGCATTTTCCAAATAACAAAGACCTGCGTGTGTTTTTTAAAATTTTATTCATAGAACAAATTACGCTGTTGCTGGTGTATAATCAAGCCGCATGTCAGAAAGAAAACAAGAACTTTCATTTTTGTCTAGATGTATTCTGTCTGATAATTCGAATCTCTCAGAACAATCTGTCGAGGCTGAAAGAACAATTTTGCGGTTGCGTCACTCTGCCTGCACAAACAGCATTGTAAGTGAGAAGGTAGTCACGGCGCGTAATGAAGCACTGCAACGCTGTGTTCGTTATCTTTCTAAGATTTGTCTCAGATTCAGGATGCCTCGACTGTGTACAAGCATGCTTGTCTGTGTTTCTTTTTATTGTATGCTTGTGAGAACCAGTTTGGCTTTAAATGGCAAAGTCTTGATTTTGGCTAAACGTCACCTGTTCACTACTTTAGCTTCAGAGGAAAAAACTTGAACTTACGTTGCTAAAAATAAGGAGTGAATGAATCAAATCTCATAACTGGGCTAGAATGAGAGTAAAGGTAAATATAAAATGTGTCAGAGGAGCTGTTCAGAAAGCAGCGTTCATTACAAACCTTGCCTCAGACGTCTAGACGGGAAGAAGGGGGAGGACTATGTCAGACAACTAAAAATGACAGTCAAACCTGCTTTCTGCACTGAGTAACCAGAGTGTTCACATATAAGATGACAAGGGACCAAACCTTCTGTCAACCCTTCTTTACATTTTTAAAATTCCTACATTCTTGCACAACATCTGTGTCCACGGTCACGATGCTTTCAGTGAAATGAGTTAAATCCACTCGATTCAACAAACAAAGCAAATGTGGCTACCAAGAAATGCAATGATTTAATTTCTCTTCTTCTCTTTCATCTCTTGTACCTGCAGCGACCTGAAACCAGCCACCGCTTAAATGGGCAGTTTCTTGTTCCACATTTTAAGGTATCTGCTTTTAACCCTCTGAGCATGTTTTTTCTACTGTCACATTTTTACTCACTGTAGGCTCTTTTTATTTCTCTACTGCAACATAAAGTTCAGCACTTCTATGGAAAGCCCAGAAAAAATGTCTTTTGCGCAGTGTGACAAAGTTAATCATAAAAAAACAGAAAGTGAAAGTCGAATTTGAAAAAAACAAAAAGGGAATCACCATGTATTGCATTTTTCCAAATGTTACCCATAATGCTAAAAAATGGTGTTTACTCTGCATACTATCGATGCTTTACTCGTTATATTTAATTTGTTTCCTCCCTGTTTGGTGAAAACACATCCTGCAGTTCAGCCAAATAGGTTTTTGTCAAACATCAGCTGGTTGCAGATGAGGTCAAAGATTTTCTTTAGTTTTTTGGTTTTTTACAGAATCTGGTGCAAACAGCATCTATTTCAACAAAAATGTGACATTTTTAAATATAGACTTGATCAATAGTCTGAAGACCATCGAGAAGCTGCATAAATCTGATGATTCTTTCTCATTTTACAGTGTCTGGCTCTGATAAAAGGTGTATTTTGTCGATTTTTTAAAAGATAACATCCATCCATCCATTATCTATACACCGCTTAATCCTCACAAGGGTCGCAGGGGGGCTGGAGTCTATCCCAGCTGACTCAGGGTGAAGGCAGGTTCACCTGGACAGGTAGCCAGTCTATCACAGGGCTACACTTAGAGACAGACAACCAAGCACACTCACATTCACACCTACGGACAATTTACAATCACCAATTAACCTCAGCATGTTTTTGGACTGTGTGGGGGAAAGCCGGAGAACCCGGAGAGAACCCACGCTACACGGAGAACATGGAGACTCCACGCAGAAAGATTCTGGTGCCCCCACTGGGATGTGAACTGGCGACCTTCTTGCTGAGAGGCAACAGTGCTACCAGCTGCATCACCTTGCAGCCCTAAAAGATAGCTTTCTATATTCACTGGCAGGTTTTGGGGCTCAAAGGGTTAATGCTGGTGATTGAGTGACACTATATTTAAACTGTCTCTGAGGAAGCGTGGTTGCTGGACAGTTTTTCAAAGTGTGAATGCTGGAATTAGTTTTCTTGTTCATACTGTGAACATTTATTGTTTTTTCCTGCTAATGACAGGCTTGCTGATAACCCAGGCAGCTAATCAGCCTCCTGTTTGTTATTTTTACAAAAAGTTGCCACCCATTGATTCAACCAAAGACTGACTGTGAAAGCTAATTTCTTGAAAAAAAATTGATGTAAATTGTTGTTGAGTTTGCTTTACAGTACATGTTCTGTACCTCGGAGCTTTCTCCGGCACTGTGGCTGTCTCCTCGGGAGTTCCCGGTGCTGGCGTCCCTGGTTCGAGGAGGCTTCCAGGTCCTCTCCTGGGTGGAGCGGTTGTAGTAGAAGTGTCGGCCGTTCTGGTCCCTGTAGGTCTCCCAGTCGCCGAGGACATGGAGGGGGGAGCCGGAGGGAAAGGGAGGCTGGTTGGTCTGGGTGATCTTCAGCTCTTGGAGGTTGGTGTAGACGGGCGACTCGGAGCGACCCTGGCCTGACGAAGAAACCGTCTGAGGAAGGAAAAAAGAAAGAGGGGGGAACTGTGAGTCATATGTGAGTGGATTTAAGTCTGTTATATAAAAGTTCCCGAGCAGCGTGTGACGGTTCATGACGTAAGAAATTCACAGCTTTCGGAGTGTAAATCACCAGCTGCACACACAGGCTGGTGGTCACTTTCATCTGCAACATCTTAAAACAGCGTACAAACAGCACAACACACATCTCACCCCCACACTGTGAGCGTCATGTTCCACCGGAGCTACACATGGAGACAATCGCCTCATCTTTACAGTGTTTACACACTCAACTGCAGGAGCACAAAGGAAACGACTGAAAGGTCAAAGGTGGCAGAATTACACTGTATTTACAAAAGACGTGACCGCTGTCGGCTGTAGAGGAGCAGATCAGTGAATGAACTCAGAGTGGAAGGAAGTTGCAGTTATATAACTCAGAGTGGCAGAGACCCGTGTCAGGTAGAAATGAGGAAGTAAAACTGACTGGAGATGCATCTTGAATATTGGCACGGCAGTTTGTCCCTACAGCTGTAAACAGAGAGAACTGTGGAAATCATCCCTGCAGTAAAAAAAAAGAAGCACATGGTGAATATGGATGCGCTACTCTGCACAACAAATTGAATAATTATTCTTTTGAAGCGTGACAATATTATTCAAATTGCAGAGCACTACATTTTAGCTACAGTTTTTTACTATATGTGACTATTGGCTGTCGTGAGCAGTTTATACATTTAAATAGATTCAAACAGATTCAAACATGAAGATGTACAGAACCTGCAGTTTGTTTTTTGATGCTCATGACAAGTGGCAAACCTGTTTGATTAACTGATAGTGCTGCAGAAAAAAATAAAACAATAATGACTCCATCACAAGATCCCCCCAACCAAAATTCATTTTTTTTACTATGTCAGCATGTCAATATGGTGTTTATAGGTTGGAAAACGCATCATATGGGAAATAAGCAGTCAACACCACGGCTAAGCACTTCCACATGAAACTGCTGCGTAGCGATAATAAAAAATAAACAAATAAATAAACAACGACAAAGATTGAGACTTCCAGAGTTTCGTATGCAACAATCATAAGGACTCAATCGTGCAGACTTGCAGAGTGGAACTTTATGTGTCATTATCATGATTTACAATTTGTCATTGTGCAGCATAGAGTACTTCTATGGTGTTTGAGCAGAGTTGCAGGTGAGCTGGTGTGCTTGAGCTACAGCAAGTCGGAGTTTAGAAGTTAAATCAATTACTTGAGAGAGACTTTAAATAGTGTCAGAACTACAATGCAATATTCTGAACTATGTAGCTGTCATGCACAACAGTAGGTTTTTTAATTAATAAACCAAGATTAACTCTTAAGACAAAACCCCAAGAACAGTCGGTTGACTAAAATTTAAGACATGGAAAAACAACTGGAGCATGCTGGAGAACCTTGAAACATCCAGTGTTTGGCATTTCGCTTGAAAAATCAGACACCTGTTTATCAAAATGCTCGCCAAATAACTGGTCTTGTCCCTTGCCCCAGACACCCACAAATGACATCAGCTTTTGCATCAAGATGAGAAGGAATTCAGATCCCGCTTTAATTCTAACACAAAGCAATTCATGTTGTTTTGGCAGAGGAAAGCTTCTGAGAAGTAACTAACACACTACAAAAATGCTCCTCAAATTCTGCTACAGGAGTCTATTGCAGCTCTCACTCTGGCAGGTGGTAATCCTGATTTCAAATATTGATTGTGGCTCAGCAAAAGTATTGACAAATGAACAAAAAAATAAGTTGCTGCCCAGTCAAACAAGAACATCTCCACAGCTGCGGTACAGCCAGCATGCCGCCTCTAATGACAGAGCAACCCTTCAAAGCCCAGATGCACAACTGATCCAGTCAATGGGCTGCTTGTCATGATTATTTCATGCCGGCATTACAAAGAAGCTGCCCGGCAATAGAGCGACAGGGCAGAGAGTCATAAATAATGCCAGCGGCCCGAGGCGTCCGAACACTGGCTCCGTGATGTTTTTATTGCGCGGAGATCAATCGGGATGAAATATGCAGGAGCAGAGCAAACAGCTGGAGGTACTCAGGACAATTGAATTTTTAGCGAACTAGAGGAAGCCTGAAAAGTGTGATGTTCAAAACAGTGTCAAAATACACATACTGCAGATGTATGTTGTCGCAAATTTACAGAAATGTCCTTTGCGTGTTTGTGAAAAAGGCTTGAGATGGCAACACTTGACAGAAAGTTGCAAAACAAGGAAACGTTCTGAAGCTTTCTACCACTGAGTCATCAAGAAAAAGGTGCTAATAAAGGCAGTTTTTACTAGAAACGCTAAGTAATGCACAACGGAAATCTTAGTTATGTGCAATAACTAAAAATATACAGCCTGTTACCTCTGGTGGCGAGCAACTCGTAAACACGTCGTCCTCTTCATGTATCGAGATGGCTCGAAAAAAACTTCTCCTCAAACGGATTACTGCCATTGTTCCCGTTTGATATTTTGATTTTGAGTGAAGCCGTCCTTCATCAAACACAGCGTGCAACACTGGCGATGCCGTTCTGTGGTCTTCCTGCACAAATGTTGAGTGAACATGTGATTTAGTGCATGGATCTGTCAAAGGGGGAAGTCCTGGTGGAGAATCGACCGTTATGAAGCCAGCGAGGTGGTAACCCACTTCAGTGTTGGCCACGAAACCACATTTCCTCTCAAGGCTGCTCTGAAATGACACTTCAGTAAAGTTGTAGAAACCCCTACAAAGAGGTGTTTTTTTTTACCCTGTAGGACAGAGTAGAGTCACATGGGATCCACATATGTGTGACTTTGAACACTATTTAGCCTCCGCCTGTCCATTTCTCAGTCCACATCAAACCTGTGCTTTACTCAAGTAGAAATCAGTTTTCCTGTCAGTTTTCTCTGCTTTCACCTGATAAACTAATTTAATTAAAGTAGAAGTTGTAGATGAAACAGAAGGGTTTAAGGACGTTTCAAATATAAGCACAACTGATATATGCATGTATACAACTAAATATGAACAAAATTATCGTGCACTATATTCAAAACAAGCCTCATTTTTACATTAAGCCAACCTCAATATCTCTCTATTATGAAAACTTCCACTGACTAGTACTCGCTAGATGAACCGCCCGATGACAGCAGCAATATGTACTCTGTCAAATAAAGACACCCCTTATGTAACTAAAGTCTTCGCTACCATGTTGGCTCATTAAAAATCCATGCACACACTCTCCTGACTTCATTATAGCAGCGGTATATTCCTGAGCAGCTGGTGCTGGACATCTGGTGTGAACAGACTGACCACCTAATCGATACGTAGCTATGAAACCACTGAAGCACAGTGGGACATTAAGAGGCTGACCTCTCACTAAGAGGAGGCTGCTCTCGTTGACGGGACACTATGCTTTAAGCAAAGGTTGCCAGGAGGACAGGTGTCGCCATATACGCACATCTTTCTGCGCAGCCGACAGGCTTCCTGCAGTAGTAGAAGATCACCTCTGCTAATGTCTGGAGAAATTATTACATTTTTATGAACCATAAAACTTAGAAAAAAAGGCAACATCACACAGCCAAGCCTCGTATTTATGAGTAAGGCAGTTGTTTCGAGTGCCGTCTAATAGCCACATCGCTCACGAGATGAGATGTGTCAGGATCAGTTTGGTTTATGGCTGGATTAAAGGTGGAGTATGTGATTTTAATCCAATACAAGTTTTGTCAAATTCAGCAAACACAGCCTTGGCTCTGTAAACAGGAAATAAAGTGGCTTGGGCCAGTGTACACAAAACTACTAAAGTGAGCAATTATGAGCTCAAACGTGGCAGAAAAGCAAGCAGTGGGAGCAAGTGGGACAGTAAATCTGGCACATGTTAACTATCTGGTCACAGATTTTACATTTAATCACATTTGCTTTGCAGTAATTAATTGCTGCAGCAATATCAGTCAAAACAAAAAAGGAAAAAGAAAACCTGAGTTTCTACAAGTTGGATAAAGTAAAGACAAACATGGCACACTGGGCTAAAGTCAGTGTGATAACCTCCAGTTGGATCTTCATTAACAGTGGCTATGATCAGATAAATATATCTATATTAATAAGATGGCTCAAGGTTTTCTGTGACAAAGAAAATGTAAGATATCATTAAAGAACCCACATCATGCAGGTTTACCTTTATATAATTGTATTTTGGGTCTACTAGAACTTGTTTACATGCTTTAATGTTCAAAAAACACATTATTTTTCTCATACTGAACATTGCTGAAGACCTCCTCTCAAATTCTTGCCCCGTCTTAGCTCGTGTCTCTACGTCAAAGGTACCCAGATCTATGAGTGTGACAGCTGCATATTTTTTGTTTTCAGGCTATGCCAAACTAGCTGTAAGGTCGGCGTTATACACATGTGTTACATGGTGATGTAGATACGTAACGGAAGGAAAGCCTGGACTTCAACCAAAGTGTTTCAGGCTGTTAAGGAGCTTGTTTTCTGACAGAATAACTGTCTTTGGCGTGGACTTGCAGCTCTGTAAGTCTGCAACAACAACAACAAACAAAAGCAACTGTACAACCCACTGAAAGAAAGAGGAAAACCCCGAAAGCACAGTATGGGCTCTTCAAAACAAAATACTTCCAAATACACCCAAAAGTACTGACAATGATACCCATTTTCTCAGACAACATGAACAGAGATGATCCAACAACACCGCATTGTTGGAGGAAAGCTGGTTACAAGTTCAAGAAGTCAGACTGAGCTGATGGTTACACAGTCTGACCAGAAAGCCAGAAGCCGACGACAACCACAACAGCTACTGTACAGTACGCAGGCAGGAGCTCTGAGCCTGAGGGTACACTACACAGCAGCAGCCAATTAACAGTTCTGATTGCAGCACAGCATTGTCTTAATTTCCTATTTCAGGCCAGAGTGGTGGTGAATGGGTAGAAAAAGGGACGGGACGGAGAATGGCGCTGCCAGTTCTAATTAGGAGACCAGCACAG